AAGGGCGGGGGGGAGGGGGAAGAAAGATTTCTGTTCAAATTCTGGCTTCTTCACAAGAAATTACACACGCTTAGCTTAAATTTCAACAAAGCAGCGGCCCAAAAATTATAATTTCAAAGATATGCTTCTCGCCTACAATGCAAGTAATCTCAGGCTACGACTGGGTAAAATTAAAAAGGGATACCCAACAAAATTTTAAAAGAAATTTAAACAGAAAGAATAAAAAAAGTACCTGCACATGCCAAAAAATTACAAAAACCCAATAAATACAGAAATTATTGCACAGTTAAAAGGCTCCACAATTTTTACTGCCTTAATCAACCCTCGGGTTTAATAGAACTTTGTAGACACAGGTTATACTCAAGTGCCAAAGTCTGGCACCTACCATAATTATGCTAAGTTATGTTTACGGAGGCAAGTTAGGTCATCTTTTCTCAGTTGGCAATAGTTAAACTGTACAAATAAAATGTTACCTAGACCCCTGAAATTTAACCTAGTGGGGATGGGGGGAGTGGGGGGGCCTTAGCTTCTTTCTGCCTGCTCAATTTTGACGTCATTTGTCAGCAAATGTTCTCCATGCCACTTTTTCATGTGTTTCTCCAGGGTGCTGTAAACACTGAAGGGCATCTGGCAAATGTCGCAGCGGTAGACCTCCTTCCCTATCTGGCCATGCGTTTTCATATGGCGCGTCAGCTTACTGCTCTGGGCACATGCATAGTTGCACAGCTCACATTTGTAAGGCCGCTCTCCAGTGTGGCTCCGACGGTGCACCGTCAAATTGCTGCAGTTCTTAAAGACCTTGCCACAGTACTCACACGTGTCGCTCCTGCGCCCTTCCTTCGAACTGGGTCGCCCGGGGCCGGGACCGCTGATGTGGGGGGTGCTGCCTCCGCTCGCCGTGCCGCTGCGCCCTGAGAGCCCCCCGTCCAGCATGTCCCCCGGTGGGGTGGAGAAACGCAGGCTCCCGTTCTCCGACGAGTGCTCGGAAGAGGTCGCGAAGGGGGATTGTCGGGAGTCTGTGAATCCGAGGAACGGATCCTTCATGAAGTGCCGCGACGCCGCGTACCCTACCAGCCACTGGGAGTAAACGTTTTCAGAAGGTATTATCGTTGCTGGTGGCAAGTCCAAATCTTTTTCTACCTTTATTCTTTTAGAGGAATTGTTCAAGCTGGGGCTCGTGATAGGCGTCGGCTTTCGGGGGAACAAGTTCGGGAAGGGCTCACCCGGGCCAAAGTTTCTTCCGTTGACTGTCCCTTCCTCAGCACGGTCCAGCTCTCCTACCACTGAGTCTTCATCGCCTGGATCTCTCTGACATAGGTCTCGAGGACACAAGTCTCGCTGGTCAGAAGACCTCTTCAGGAAGCTACTCCTCTTCTGCTTTTCAGCTAGCATGTCATTATATTGCTGGATGGCACCTAGACTTACATTCTCGATGACTTTTCCCAAGACGAGGGATTTCTCGTCTGGCAGTGACTTGGAGCCGTTTTCTCGGTTACGACTCAGCTCCGAGTCCATACTGAAGCTCGACTCTGGCCGACTCTCATTTTCAAGCTCCTCTTCCTCCTCCTCCTCCTCTTCCTCTTCTTCATTGTCATGGCCCAGGGAAGGATCGCTCTCGTTCCTGAAATCTGCCTCACTGGATTTCAGTCCCTCTCCAGTGAGCTCGCTTGTGCCCGGCTCAGGGGAACTAGTGGTGGACAGTCCGTCATCTGACCTGCCCGTCATGGAGCCAGCTTTATGCATATGTGTTTTCATGTGGCGTTTTAGCTTGCTGGCCTGGGAGCAAGCGTGGTCACAGAGCTGACACTTGTAGGGCTTTTCTCCTGTGTGACTGCGCCGGTGCACAATAAGGTTACTCTGGAACTTGAATGTTTTCCCACAAAATTCACAGGACTTGCTTTTGGCCTGAGGCTGGGGAGGCGTAGTGCTGCTGGGGGGCATGGGGGGCAGTGGTGGGGTGCTCAAAAAAGGTGATTTAGGACTTGGCTGGAAAGGATTCAACAGGCGATGCATAGGGTTGGTGCGACTGGGCGAGACTGGCGGAGGGGTGGAACTGTTTCCTGCCAGCTCTCGAAGCCTTCTGGAGAAATCCATCGCTGGAGACTCAATTGCCATGGGGTTTAAACGCATAACTCTGTCAAAGGCACTGGGATGCTGGGCAACTAACCCCATTTCTTCGGCACTAAGGCGATGTGGATCCAGATGATGACGAGGTGGTGGGCTGAACAGTGGAGGCGTGTTTGGGAGCCGACCCTCACCAAAGCCAGGGTGTTCACGCAAGATGGGTCCCGTCATCCGCAAAAGATTGAAAGGGTTGTTGTCTCCAAGGAAATTCATCAGCGGGGACTGTGCAACAGTCTCTGGTCCCAGAGGAGGAGGGATGGTGATGCGTGGAGTAAGGGAACTGTTTGAAGGGCTTGTTTCCAGGTATATGCGGAATCCATGTGTGTTCTGGGCATGCTGAAGCAAGAACCAAGCGCTATTAAAAGGCTGCTTGCATGTTGTGCAAATATAGCTTGAAGGCTCATCTTTACCTATAAAAGAAAAACAGAAAGAACACTCAAAAAATAATATGGTGGAGAACATTTAAATACAGTTGGCATGCGCTTTATTTTGCTAGCACATTTCCTCCTTGGCATTTCTGAAAGGAGGACTTAATTGCAATGTATTGACTGATAGAAATTGTTGAACAGCACATTTACTCACCACACTTATTCACTTAACATGTATGACAAATATCACACATACACATTGGTGCTATATACATTTATAACCTCTAACTTGCAAATAAACCCTTCCTTTATGATGCATAAATATCCAAATCCTTTCACGTGTTTATTCCACAAAAAGGAATTTATTTATTTCAAGGGATTTATGACGGAAAAAAAAAAAAAAAAAAACAAAAAAACACACACAGTGTGGTTGGTTTTACAAGGCACCTGCAAGGAGCTTCAGTATCATTTTCACTCTTTCATTTTATATTTTTATATACTTCATGCAGCAGTCCCCTGAGATCTTGCTGAATTTAATTTATACATGCTTCAGTCATGCCAGCACTTCTATTTTTAAAATACGATGTAGGTATTTAGCCACACAAGTCCTGTTCAAGTAAACAGGAGCTTGGAAAACGTACCCTTGCATAAACCACTTTGACATTCTTTTTGCCAAAACACCAAGAAGCCACTCAAATGAAACATCCGGTAATCAAAGCCGACAGCACAGTTGCAATTAACAGTAACAAATGTCGGGCCATGCTTGAACCGGGTCCCAAGAATTTCTGAGCCTGAGCCTGCCCTCCAATGCAGAAATGCACACCAGAGCCAAAAACATTGTTCTGTTTGCCTTTCTAGCCTCTTTGAACAACTGCATAAAGGTGGAAAGCATTCCTTTAACCTTGATTCAGCTTTACATAAAGGACAGGTGTGGGCAAGTCTGCACTACAGTCATAATTTTGCTAGCTAGAAAATTCCAGTCCTGGGCACAATATAAACTATGTGCTATCTTCAAAAAGCATTTCCCCACCACCACCACCCTCCTTTTTTCAATGCCTCTGCAAGACTCTGATAAACTCATAAATATGTGTCAACTTGAAAATCATGATCCAGGATTTGTTTTCTTGTTTGCTTGGTTGGGTTTTTTTTTAAATGTGGGAGAGTTTTTCCTGAAAAAAAAAAAAACAACTACCCACTTTTGAAAATCTAAAATTAATTTCTTGTTTGTTTGTTTGTTTATGAAAGCATGTGTTTTGGCTAGCGATGTCCCCGCTGCACCTAAAGGCACTAAACTTCCTGAAAGTTCAAAGCGTGAACCACATTTCCTACCTGACCTGTGTCTGCATAACGACCCAAACTGAAGTTCAAGCCCAACGCCTCTGCAGGAGCTCAGATCCAAAGCTGAACTACACAACCCCCTTCTAGATGGGGGGGCTACAATTCACAAAGTCCTGTTGCTTGAGCTTGAAAGTGAAAGAGTTTATAAAGTGAATAGAACCGTATTATTAAAACTACCTTTGTAAAGAGGAATGACTCATAGCAGTCAAAAAAAAGAAAAAGAAAAAAATAAATAAAGTCAAGCACATCAGGAGAAGCAGGATTGCTGCTGACTGAATTCCCTTCTTCTGGCTGTTACAGGAATGGCTGCTGCTAATAAAACCTACAAAATCTTAGACAAGGAGTCTAGAAGATTATCTGCTTACCTATCAGCCTGTCAGTCTGTCTAATCTTATCACCCAATGAACATCCATAAAAGCGTAAAGGAAAAAAGCATCTATCCGCGTGAGCCTTATTTACAAAGGTAGGTGATAAATGTGGTGCAGCTCCTCGCTCCTATTGATTTAGTAGGGCTATTGCTGTGGATAGCAGCTTCAGACCCCAATTTCAGAGAAGCTGTCTCTCTGCAGCCAAGAAAAACTACACTCAACACTGTGAGCATTTCTGTCTGGCAGACATGGACCCTGTGCCCCAGCCCCAAACACAGTGTCATATGGGACAGACCTAGCTCCTTTCATTAACCTCTAACAAACATTGTTGGGGGAAAAAAAAAAAAAAGCTTGGGAATTGTGCTCAGCTTGGGAAAAGTGCCCATAACTGCTATTGACATTAATGAAAGCTGCATACCAACACAGAAAGGAATTGATACATTAGCCCCTAAACATCTACTCAGCACTGAGGCAGTTAGGGATTTTTATGTCAGCTCTGCCGCCAAAGCAACAGTAAATGCTCCCATTATTACTTCAAATATTTAAATTTCTGTTTCTTACAGAAATATGATGAAAATGTCTAGACCTTTAACTTTTCTTGCACAGCAACATGTGTAGTATAAAAAGTGACAGAAATCAGTGAAGCAGACTAAAGTATATAACATACTCTGTCAAAAGCTTTTTTTAACAATATGTTTTACCTCAGCTCACCCTAGAATAGATTTTAATAAAGCCCCTTCTGAAGTGTGATCTAATAGCAAATGAAGTGCAGCATCTTACAAGGTCATATATCTTCAAATTAAAGAGTGCTCTGCACCCTTCACCTTCATTTTATCCACTCTTAATTAATCAATTTATTACCCGCAGCTGTTCGATTCTCTCATTTTTAAAGTCACAGCATGCATTCATTTTTGTTGTGGTTTTTTTTCTTTAAAAAAATGAAATGTGTGAGCATGTGTGCGCGCATGCATTCTCCTTGCTTAGCTCAAGAGCTGACAGGAGGAGGAAAGCAGCTGTGTATTAGAACATGACAATGACAACGGCAACACGTCAACTTCAGCAAAGGCACATACCTAAGGAGAAAAATTCCTGAGCGGGCTGGGGATCAAGGCCAAGCTAAAACTGAAATGGCTGATTAAAAAAATTACCCTCAAAATGGCAGCTGGCTGGATGCTTGCTACTACATGTTACACGGAACTGAGATGTTTTGGTTTGTTTTGTTCTCCAAAACTTTACCTCTGTGAAATTCAAGTAAGGAAAGTAAATCCTCCTCCTTTTTCGTTTTCTTTCAGACAGAGCAAATTAGTGCTATTAGTGAGCTAAGATTTACAAGCTAGCAGTCATAAAACAGCCTTCTCTTCCTTTGTGTTTTGTTGAGCTCCTTAACATTCCTCTTCAGGAGACCCTGACACAACAGCAGAATTGACTGTAGGCTACCTGGCTACCAGCTTCTGACTGTTTTACTAGTGTTGCTGTGTGCATGCCTGTGTATATACAGATTTTAACTTTCACAACCTGCAAAGATTCTCACGAAACTCCCCATTTAAAAAAAAAATTTAAAAAAAAAGTGGGGAAAAAAAATGTTCATTTCCACATTATCACTTCATGATTATCTGGCCTAGAAGTTGCCCTGAGCAGTGTAGATCCTCACTTTAAAGAACAGAACAATGTCAAAAAGTCTTTGAAGGACCTCTCCAAATGTTTTTGTATTCAAAAACTTGCTAAATATTTTAAACATGCCCAGAAACAGCCATGTATTGCTCAGGAATGATCCTTATGTTTAATAATGCAGTGCACCTACACTATAAAACTCTTTGTTATAAGGCTACTTTTGATATATGGCTATCTTAATCCCTTGCCACCTGCACTGAAGTCTGTCTAAATACCCACTTTATGACAACTAGCTATATAGGCTTTGCCATATGCAGTCTTTATCACTTTAGCATGTGCTTGACTTTGAGCATGTGAGTAATCAACATCAGTGAAACTTAAGCATAGGCTGAAGTGCTCTGCTGGATAATGATGAAATTATTCATGTGCTTAGAGTTAAGCACAAGCCAAGACTTCATTAATACTGTTCAATGAATTGCACATGGATTCAACGCTACAGTCTGTAACTACACATTATTTTCAGGGCTGATGGCTCAAGTATAATTTTTTTTATCTTTACATTAGTAGGTAGATACAGAGACATCCAGGCCACAAGACCCTGAGCAGTCAATACTACCTTCGAAGATGAACTGCAGTCAAACAAATACTGCCACTGGAGTTCAGGCATCAGACAGCTTTGTAGGGCCAAAACCTAATGAGGCATAGGTGTTTAGGTTCAGAAATATTGATTTGAAAGCCAGGAAGGCCTGTGAAATTAAAGAATGAGAGGAGTGGGATAAAACTTAAAGGTTGCCCTTGTCCAGTTCCTGACCCCAGGGATGTCTATATCTATGCATCTATTCCTATCTATGGCAGATGCTCCATTATCCTGCTTCAAATGCCACCTGGATAGAGAGTCTACAATGTTCTCAAAGTCTACCTCATTCCTTCTCCCCTTTACCATCATGAAGGTTCCCCAAATGCCTAATGTAAATCTTTCTTCCTGCAATTTAAGATCACAATATTTTGTCCTATCTACCTGTACATGAAAAACATACAAAACAATTTAGTCGGCACCTTACATACACATATCATCCAGTCTGCAGTTGAACCACTTTGTCTTTTAGCACCCCTTTCTCCGAATTTGAGTTGGAAATGCCAAGTGAAAGAGAATTCACTATGTATTGGAACAGTCTGTGGCAATGGCTATGTTCAGTATTTAAAAAAAAAGTCTTCTTTCCAATTTAAATTATTGAGTTCAACTGCCAACCATTCGATCTTGTTATGATTTTATCTGTTAGATTAAAAATCTTTCTAGTATCTTTTCCCTAAGCAGGTAATTATAAACTATGAACTTATTGGACATTCTTGCCTTTTCTGCATACTGTGACAAAAGATGGTCTTTTCCAGAAATATTAAAGTCTGTTCCCTCCATTACTGCATGACAGATTATGTTTCGTTCAAAATGTCAAAGCAATAATGAGCTTCTTTCTCTTTCATGAACAGCACATAACAAAGCTAAATTCAGAGCCTGCCTCCCAAATTCTGCCTTTATGGGATGCAGTGAAGAAAGACAGGTCAGTTTGCCCAGTCCAGAACAAGAGTAGCCTGAGTCTGTGGAAGTTAATCCCACTGCACCAGGCAGCCTGAATCCCCTGACTTATCTGTCCTCTGCAGTCCGACTTGTATCACTTAGTGATATGCAGATCTTCGTTGCCCAGTTGGTACATGATGTTCTATATACCCTGAATACTGAGCACCTTTGCCTTGTAAATAATTTCCCCCAAAATATCCTGTTAT